AGAGTTGACAGTGAAAACCCACGGTAACACCTGTATAAAATATAACAAATAATAAAACGCTACTATACTAAAATTTTGATGCAATGAGATCTATAATTATTTTTTGTTAATTATTTATATTTTTTCTTACAATATTAATACTGATTAAGAATAAAAAATATTCTTAACTTAGAAATCCGTTACGAAAACAAGAAGTTTAAAAAAATTACATTAGTATAAAATATATAGCAAAACAGATATATTTATTATCAAATATCGAATAAAGCTGCAATAAAAATGCCGTTAACTTTACGTTAAATCATTTGTGTGACAATATTGTGTCATTTATTTTAAACGTAATTTAACTACAAATAAGATGCAATCAACAAAAACATGTAGAATTGATGATTTTTCATAAAACAAGCTTATATAGCGATTTAACTAATGTAGTGAAACATTAACAACACACACAATTAATATAGTTTTGTGTTTTTAAAAATGCATTCGTGTATCCTAAACGAAATAAATAAAACTCGCAAACGAAATATAACTAATATTTGATTATTAATACATATAAAAATGTGAATTATTTGAAACATGTCTACATTAATTCAAGTTGCAACAGCGAAAGTACCTAACACATAAACACAGCAATTGATACATTTAATACTTATTTTATTTATGTGCTTTTTATTACATGTCTTTTATTAACATTTTGTAATAAACATTTAACATGTTTTTGAATTTTATTTTGCTTATTCATGAGTAACTTTTACAGCAGGCTATTACAAATATACTCATTTTAATGTTTCATTACCAAATTACAATTTGTATCATTTTGCTACCTAATTTGAGATATTATTCTTAAAAGAGATTCTTGCTATATCCATGATAAATTGTCATGAACGTGTATTTTTCATAACATACACATAATTTGACTTTTATAATATTGACCGATCTTGTACATTGTAAAAATTACAATATTTCGTTTGCCTTTAAAAAAAAGAAGCTTGCTAACATATATTTGTATCATTTCAGCGTTTACAAACACTACAAACCTCAAATTGTCACTATCATATATATAATCTGAACTCTTAAATGTTTTTATTTTATGATAATTTTACTAATGCTAACGTATCGGTAGCATTCAATTCCTCCAAATCTGTAGTCGAGGCGACTGTCGATGGTGGGGCGAGAGGCGGGGCGAGGGGCGGAGCTAAAGCGCGGTTTATAATTGGTCAGTACAGTTAGTAGCACTCGGCAGGGTGTGAACGAAACAGACGCCAATGAGTGCCGCTTGGCGTCTCAACTGTCCAACTGAACTGGCCAAGTGTGAACCGAGCATAAGGAGGCGAAGATCAGGATGTATCCAGCGGGGGCTGAATGTGTCTACTGTAGGGGATGCCTAATCCTTCTTGGCGTGTATGTTGTCGTGGCAGCGCTGGCAGACGCGCACGGGGCGCAGCGCGCGCAGCCGGCGCACGGGCGCCTCGTAGCGCGTGCAGCGGCCGCAGAACACCGCGCCGCACTCCCGGCAGTGGTGCCGCCGCTCCAGCGCAGTGAATCTAACCTGAAAACATAAACAGACGTATTTTTAGTGTTTTAGTTTTTTTTTATTTCAATAAATTTTAGTAGATTTTCGTTAATATACTAACATTTCTTTTACCATTACAACTGAGCTCTAGGCTTACTCTAGAATTTGGTTTACGACAATAGTCAAACGGCAGGATTTGATCCTTCGT